ATACAATTTTTGAAATTAAAATCTAAGTCTTCTTTCACACCTGCCAAGTATTGGGTCATCGGGAAAGTCATGACATATTTTTCTATGCAAAACTGTGTCGTGATTTTCCCACCAACCTAATATATTGTACTGATGCTAACGCAGTAGCAGCTTAATAACTTTTTGTTCCATTAATGGCAAATCTCCCAGAGAAAAATCACAGTTCAGATTTTTAAAAATTTTAGTTCCTGGTCCTAGCTCACTTCACTCCTTGACTTTTATGGCTTATAGATAAAGAATACAGCCAGACCAGAAACCATTTTATAAGAAATCCTCTCTCACTCAAAACTAAGAGACTGAAATCAATCTAGAAGTAAACCATATTAGAGGAACAAAAACTGTTTAAGTCATTATTCCCCAAAGAAGTTGGACACAACACACTTCTCTCAGGGAATCCTGGTCTCAACAATTATGAAAACATAGTAGACATACTCAAAATACCAGGACTTTCATCAGTATCTCTACTGAACTTGGAGATTAAATCGCCTTTACCTAAATGTCAGTGGCACTGACACCAACTGATTTTTTTTTTTTTGAGAGGTTTTTCCTATAGGGCACCAGAAAGACAGAGAGAGACAGAAAGTAAGAAATTACCCCCAGGGGGAATGGCCATGCCGCAATCCCTTCTCCTCCATTCTCCTCATGAGATCTTGGGCACACACGCAAGTCACCGGGTCCAGGACGCGAACCGCAAATCACCTGCCGTCCATTACCTCATATGACCGAACAGGAGATAAAGAAAACTGGAGCTGGGAGGCTTCTCCGAGGTCGCCCAGTCAGTACAGGCAGGAGGACCAGGGTTCGAACTAATGCCATTCTGCTCCAATTCCAGCTAACGACATACTCTTGAGTGGCTGATAAACCTTCATTTCCTCACAAAGTTTCTAGAACTAGCACCTATCTCAATGTTGAGACCAGCATTTTATTTCCTCTTATTTATTTATTTTTTGCCTGAGGATAACATTACACAGCATTCCTAGTTCAGCTCTCCTTTTGGAGTACTTCTACAGCAGGGAAGACACAGGGAAGCTAGATGCTAGGTTCCCGATCATTCTATAAACGCCCTTTCTCTTTTGTAAGGGCTTAGAAGGCTCAATCCATTTTAGGTGTGCTGTCGCCAGATGGCAGGAGGATGTTACAGAAAATTTAAGGCTTACATTTTTCCTAAGTTTCAGGAATGACTTTTTGGGCTTCAGCCACCTGCAGTGTCAGCCACAAATTTAAATAATAGATTTTTATCATTTTAGTTAAAAGATTTATTAAAGCAGCTAACCTTAAAAAACACAAAGATGTAACTTCAGTTTTTTGTTTGTTTGTTTGTTTTTTGAGAAAGAGATTTTTGCTATAGGGCATGTGTGCTCACCGGAGGGACAGAGAAAGACAAAAAGCGAGAAATCACCCCCAGGGGGGATGACCATGCTGCAGTCGCCTCTCCTCCATTCTCCTCTCAGGACTTCGGGTAAGCACACACACACATGTGCACCCAGCATGAGTTTTAAGCTGCCGGGTCCAGGACTCAACTGCAGTGACTCCGTGGGAATTCAGCGATGTAATGACGCCATCTGCTGGTCCCTCTTCAGCAGATTTTAAACAAAGTACAAACTTGAAATAAATCTGCTATGCAAGCTTTTAAAAACACCTGTGAATCTTTCCTTGAAAATGTATTAAAATTTCTCGTAACTATTCATTCTACTCACGTCTAAACCACAGGCGTCGGTTAAGCGTTAACGTGAAAGATCCGTGTGCTGCTGGCTGGCCGGTCAGCACTCCCCGGGGTGTGCCCATCCACACAGTGCCCGGAGCAGCTGCCTGCTCTCACTCCGCCCGCCTTCTGGCAGTTCTAAGGCCCTGCAGGCCGTCTCCTGCCTGGGGTCCCACCACTCTCCATGGCCTTTCTCTAGAGAATGTTCCTTTTACCTGCTGGTAAGTGTTGTTTGCTGGGAGTCAGAGAAGCCTATTTCTCCACTCGGAGGAAGTCATCTTCCTGCAGTCCTGTCCTCCCAGGAGCAGGGCTGAACCACCCTCCTCTCTCTCCATCGCTGCCCTCATCTTTCTTAAATAATGCCCTCTGCAGATGATCTGACCAACACGGACTAAGTGGGCTCTTAGAAACTTGAAGGAGAAATTCAAGAAACATGATCTCCCACAATAAAGCAAGTCAAACCACGGAAAGTTCTTTTTTTTCCCCAGCGAGGTTTTTGCTATAAGACGTGTGTGCTCGCTAGACAGACAGAGACAGAGAGATAGAAAGCGAGAAGTCACCCCCCCCCAGGGGGGATGGCCACGTTGCAATCCCTTCTCTTCACTTCTCCTCCCGGGATCTTGGGTACGCGCACACACATGCCCAGCATGAGTTTAAGCCACCAGGTCCGGGACTCGAATGGCAGTCGACTGACTACATGGGAGTCCAGCCACTACATAACTGCCGGTCCCAAACCATGGAAAGTTCTTGCAAACAGGGTGAAGGGTAACTGCTGTCCCAGGAGCAGTTACGCATTTCAGTTGGGGTCTGCATTCAGAAACCAGTCCTACAGCCCGCCCTGTGTCACCTCCAACCTCACACAGGCAAGCTCGACCACTGGTGACCTGCTGGGAGCTGGCGTCACCGCGGGAAGACGCACACAGGACGACGGCTGACGGGGGCCAGAGCCGGGCCACTGGGGCCCTAGTCCCTGCTCCACTGTTCACTTGGTTAAGGTCGTGCCTCAGTTTCCTCGTCTGCACAATGGGAAGGATAAGGAGCACCCGCCGGGCACAGCTACTGGTGAGGACGGTGAGGAGCTCGGGAACACTGGTCACTGTCTAACACGTGCGGAGCCTCAAACCTGGAAACAGCCGGTGTGCAAGGCTGTGTGAGCCTGACTGAAGCTGCTTCAGCTGGTGGGAAGGGCACCACAGTGTCCCCCGCTGAGGAGCCCCCAGGTGGCGAGGGCTAGTCACAGACTGGTGGGTCAGGCTGTCACAGGGTCTATTACATGAGACACTCGGCACAGAGAGCTCCCTTACCCCGGGCCCATGTTCTGGAGCAGGTCTCCACAGCTGACTCACTCTTGCTGCAGGGAGGTGAGGAGCTGTACGGGGGCAGGGTGGGGCTGGGTTCAGAGCCCCCACGCTGGCACACACAGCCTACCACTCGAATCCAGGCACGGAGGCCAACGGGGACGACCCACTGTGTGGCAGGGGCCAGGGCTGTGCGGGACACAAATGTGAGGCTAGGCAGGAGTATACACGAGGATAGATGTGCAAGCCACAGCCACGAGAGCACAGCCCTGTCCTTCAGCCACAGTCAGGGCACAGGGACCCGGTCACAGCCAGGAGAGGACAGTGCTGTCCCTTAGCCACAGTCCCAGCACAGGGACACGGGCACAGCCAGTAGCGGACACAGCCACAGTCAGGGCACAGGGACACGGTCACAGCCAGGAGAGGACAGTGCTGTCTCTTAGCCACAGTCCCAGCACAGGGACACAGTCACAGCCAGGAGAGGACAGCCCTGTCCCTCAGCCACAGTCCCGGCACAGTGGTCACGCTCTCGCCCTCCACGCGCTGTGAGCAGAGCTGCTGTGACGGTGGTGCTGGCTTGGCTGTGCACCCAGTAGGCTCAGGAACAGAGGCAAGGATTTCCACTTAGTTCCAATCACTCCAGTTTCTGTATCCTACCCAAGTATGTACCATTAGGAAGGAAGCATGGCGTATTTCCTCTTCCTTTCCCCCGCCGAGCATGGTCGTTTCTCAGATGCTAACACCGCTGCTTCGAAATGTAAGTAACCAGGAAGAGGTTGTGGACTGCTTCATGGACATGACAAAGCCCGAGCCCTCCGGACCCCCCCAGCAGTGTCCGTGTGCATACCGACGAGGTCCGTGGCCTCGCCTCTCCTGCGGGCTGGGTATGCTTACCAACCTCTCTAGCTCGACCTCGCCTAGACCTCCAAAGGGCATGAAACACACTGTCACGCTGGCATACTTTATGGGTTTACGCCTCCCAGCCTTAGTGCCAAGTACTTCAAAACCTGCAAATACCGTAACGCAAACTGCCTAAAATTCCAAGAACTCCCGCACAGGGTAAAACATGCCACTCCTGGTTTCGGTATGAGGATTTACGCACGTATTTCGATAAGGTACCTACTTGTCGTTCCATGCCCTCAGGGACCATTTCCTTCCTTAAGTAAAGGGGCGTATGGTTAGGGGAGGAGAGGGGCTATACCCTGCCTGTGTCAGGGCTTCCCCGGGACACAGAGGGGGCGGGAGCCAGCTGCCTCTGCTGCTCAAGAAGGGAACCGCGTCCCGACGGGATGCCTTCCACCTGGCTACCAGGAGGCTGAGGCTGCTCAAAATGGCCAGAACTAGAGCTAAACGTTCTGGAAAGTCCCTTTAAAATTAAAATGCTTCAAGTTTATTCTTTTCCTTCCAGCACCAAAGGAAACATCAACTA